GTAGAAACCCAGAGGAACGAGCTGGGGAAACTGAGGCGCGCGGGTTCCCGAAGGCCCTCGGGTGCCCCGCTGGGACTGGTGCCGAGGACGTACCTTAGAATCCTGTGTCAAAGGCATTCCTAGTAACGTGTACAAACCGACACACAGAACTCGCCCCCTCACCCCCGCGCTCCCACACAGACGAAGCGTGAAACGAAAATCCCCGCGGCCAGGTCTGAGGCTTGGAGTAGCCCTGATCCGTGCACGTCACCTTCGAATTTCAGGGCCGGAAGTTTTAGAAACAGCACGAAGCCACCCCCATACACTTGAAGTCAGTTTTGCTGTAGATTTTTGTGAACATTTTATTTTCTGCGAATTGAGTTACTAGTGTCATTACCCAAGGCCTCGTAACCAAGAATAAGGCTTTTGTTCCACAGCTTTTGCTTGTGTTTACCTTGTGATAGTAACTAAATAGAAATACACAAGAGGACGTGGGCCTTAAGTTTTCGATGTTTGGTTTTCATTGATCCTCCTCTGGTTTCCTTTGGCATGGATTAATACTTATTTGTGTGCATGCTTAATCACCTATCGTTTACTAAAAGGTTAAATTTTATTCCACTAAATTAGAATTCATGGTTGTCCAAGTGTTTTATGTCATAATTACCCTACTTAAGACAGAGACTGCACAATTCAGTAATTGTTATACAGACTTAGTGTGTGCCAGACACTGCTACCTACTGAAAATACAGAGTTGAGTAGGATGAAGTTACTCTCATCAAGGAACTCAGAGTCTATGGAAAGCAAAGGAGTTACACTATAATAGTAAGTGCCACCAATTAATTTGTGAAAACTACAGAATGTGGAATGATCGGCAGTAGGGAGCAGAGGTGCAGGGAAGGCTTTCTGAAGTAGCTGCTACCTTAGCTGGGTTTTGACAGAAAAATAAGGCATTGCCCTAATTTTTTCCTGTGTGCAAATACTCAGGTATTCTCCTGTGAGTTTTATCCATTAGTTAATCCAAGTCTGAAAGAACTTCTGGTTGTATTTACTTTCACTTACTCTGCACTGACAGTACCCTGAATTTTGCCTCATAGAAGTAGCTGCATTTATTACTACTATGTATTACATTTGGTCTCAGCAGTTTTGCAGATACCTGTTTCACCCCCTTTTACATGAGGAAACATACCTAGAGAGGCTGAGTTGGCAAAAGCCATCTAGCTATTAACAGACCAAGGTGAAAGCACCCTCCACTGCACCACACTGCCTCCCATTGATAGTTAATTTGAAATGATGAAAGCAAGCCAGCCTATGAGTATCTGTACCGACAGATCTTGGCACATCACCTGCCTTCCCAGTCATACTTCAGGCCCCTTGCCTTCTAAGGATTTACTAACCAAATTGTCCTGGGTTAACAATATGACTTAGTGGCAGGTACAGGAAACTGTTTAACCTAACATTTTCCTATGTTCTCCCCTCTCTTGTCACTTACCTCAGGGGACTCTATTTCTCTTTCTCTGTTTTTCATTAATTTATAACTCAATTATTACAGATGTAAAATTTTTTCTAATTCTTATTTATTCACCTCAAAAATGCCTGAGGCCATTATATACCCATTTTAGAATACACCTAAAGAAAGTTCTAGTTCTTCTAATTATTCTAATT